ATTAGGGACAGAAACTATTTCTTAAGAAAGTGTAGTTTATTGGGAGAACAAACATGAGGAAAGATACTCTCTAGATATGGGGAGGCTGATTTGTGGCAATTACCAAGGTCCAAGATGTGAAAACCCTCACTATAGCTACCAATCAGCTTACAAACTGTGAATATTGAACAGATGGCTGTAATCTCAATTTAAGTAGTACTTAAGTCATAGCTACTTAAATTACAACTCAAGATACAACTTACTTGTGTAGTACTCTCCAAAACAATTTTTAAGTCAATAGGCAAAATTTCTAAGTAATTTTTACTATTGTAACTCTCCCTCTTCCTATTATTACTGTTGGAATCTTCTATATAGAGAAGAGAGATAAAATTCGGAAGTGCTAAAACCACAAATAAGCCAATATGTGTGAGTATAAGCAAGTGTTTACTAAATTAAAAGTTTCAGAGTGGGCCATTGAGCACAGATATAAACAGTTATACTTGCTTTTACTTAAAAAAAGCCAATAGTTTTTTCTTGTTTAGGAAATAAAACATTAAAACTGAATCTAAGAGGAAAATAATTAAGCCATGATATAAATCTTTGCTAGCTGCCTACTATTGTAATTTTCATAATTCCTTTTTGTGAAAATTATACTTTATTCATTCTTGTGTACAACATGTATATACACATACATATTTCCATTTCAGACTAGTCACAAATTACATTTGAGCTGAACGTTTATAGAACCTACTGGTTGTGCCATGGAATCAGTGATTACAAAACTGAAAGCTTTCCCTTTCTGACATTAAAAGTACTTCAAAATTGCCAGATTAAGAAAATTATTGTGGTGAGTGAAAGGTTGCTTCGTTAAAACCAAATCTACTTTTTGTTTATTCTCCCATATGTTAACAAAATTGAAATATTTGATACTACTTAATCTTCTGCAGTATTTTTCTTCATATTGTGTTTTGCCCCCAGAGAAATCAATTTCCTCAAATCAGAATAAGTCAAAAGTCCCTCTGTGCGTAACACAAACAAGAAATACTATCAGTATTATCAAAGAGTTCTTAGACATAAATACAGGTATATTTCTTAAACTGACATTGAAAATTGTTCTTCTAGAGACAGCACCTGCTGTTACAAAGATGTAAGCCAAAGGTCAAAATAAACTATTTTCAGCACAGATGTAGGGGCACTTTCGCATTACTCTGTATGTATATCCTTTATCTTTAACACTCCCATGAAGTAGATAGGAGCAGGTGGTGGCATCCCCATTTATTATACAGATAAACTGTGGCACAGAGAATTCACGCATATCTTTTTAGACCAGGCCAAACTGAACCTCAGTTTCCTAACAGCTGGTCCTGAAGTTTAAAATCAAATTAGTTACTTAAAATATATAATAATGCTAACTAAATATTAATGAAATGCACATTAAATTTAAACTGTTTCTTTATGTTATAGAAAATGTTTAGTTCCCTTTATTATTTTTTGAACAGTAATATATTCCTTCTCCCTTTTCTGCTTTTGCAGAAAGTAAAAGGAAGGAGGATTAGTGGATAATTATATTGCTGTGATTGCAGCACCTGTGTGTTATTTCTTTTGATTGGCTAGTTCTGAAGTATTAAAGATTCCTACCAGCTAAAAGTCCACCTCATCAAACGGTTTTTATTAGCTAATTTTGGCTTGAGTTATTTTAAATTTACAACAAAAACCTTTTTAATTCTTAGACCTACACTTTAAATTTTTTGTTGGTTTACCTTCACCTTTTTATCATCTTACCCATTTTCGGTTTTTTAATCTCAATGCCAATGGCATCACACATTCACAGTAGGAATATAGCTTGAGTTGTCCTGTTGTTGCTAACCTTTGAGTTTGTGTATGCTACTCAATGTATAGGTACTAATAACTTCCCTGGAGAGCTGCCTTTTAAGGAATAAGTGTCTAACTTATTATAAGGAGATATAGGAATTAACTGCTTTGGGTTATGGTTACAATTACAGATGCTAACAGCACTGTTTGGAACTTTATCATCTCATTCACAAATAGCACCTTGTTGTAGACTCAGGTCTATGGTTTAAGTACTTTGAGTTTGTCAGATCTCCTTAATATATGTTTTCCACAGCAAAAAAAAAGGAAAAGATGTAAGTACTATAGATTGGGTTGGTTTGTTTTGATATTTATTTGGCTATGTTAAACTTGGAAAATTATAAAGAATATTAGCTTTTAGAAAGTGAGTTACCTTAGACTATATTTACCAAGCTAACAATGTTTTCTGAAGATAACCCCCCAAAAAGGAAACTTCAGACATTAGCCTGCCCTAGTATGTAATGAGCACTGCAGTTTTTCATCTCAGTTCACCAAGTAAGGATTGTTTTCCTTTACTCTGCCACCTATACTTGAACTTTTAGAAAATCATTTTAGAAAGCGTTGTTTTCAGTTATGAAGGCTTATTATAATTTTATTAAATACATCATATGTTTTTATATAAAATGAATATATCTGGATTATTTTAGTTTTGTGCAGCTGAGTATTAGGGTTTCTTCAGAGTTTTATAAATCTCCTTTTGTGTACCAAAGTAGAATTACCCTCCAAAATGTGTTTTATCTAGATAATCATTTTCTTATTTTGATAAATTTACCACATTGGAAATATCCTTCCTGCTTTAGAAATATTAACATTTGCTTTCTTTCTGCCTAATTTTTGTATAAACTCTAAATATAATAAGATAAAGTAAAATATTTCATTTATAGGTCCTCTGAAAATAGAGCATTTTAAAAGCAGGTAGGTGTCTCCACCCTACTTTTCATGAAGTGTTTTACCCATTCAAGCAGACTTTTAAAAACAGCTTGTTTTGATAGCAGACTGTTCTCCTGTGGGCCTTCAGCCTTTGCTTCCTGGCAGCACCTTTGGTGCGAAAAGAGAGTGATCAATTGGGAGACTATCAGTGCCAGCATGCATAGAGTGATAAGTTAACACACCACTGGGAATTTCTAGGGCCCACCAAGATACTTCACTTCTAATGTGCTAACAAGCTCATTTTTCTACCTCTTGCCTCTTCAGTTATTTTTTTTCTCAGAAGAGCTTAGAAGTTGAGTGCATCAGGCATAATGAAAAGCTCTGTAGGAGGGAGAAGCAATAACCCCATTTTTCCCTTTTCAGCCAAATAGAAAATTAGTTTCTGGTAATACACAAAGGCCAGTATTTTTTGTACAAGGGGCACTGCTGTGAATCAAAGGACTCTATTAACTGCAGAAAATTCGGCAGCTGTGAATCTCCCCCAATGAAAAAAGTACTTTCCAACAAGTTGTGAGATATGTGGTATTATTTAGATTGAACCATCAGTTTCATCCTCTTCCATTTATAACCATACACCCTCTTTAAAAGTGTACTATATTTTCTGTTAAGACTCAAAAATGTCTATATTATCCTTCCGTAAAAATTCTTACTGCTGATTATTTTAATATAACATCTTGTCCTGTTGCCACCCATTTCAGAAGTAAATTTCTTTTGAAGTTCAACCCCATTGTACAGAATTGAAAATAATGGATTGCAAGGAACTAGAAGTCAATATTTGATGCATGAAATAAATTGTAATACAAGAAGAGAGTACACAAGCCATTTAGAGGGCCAAAGATATCACAAAGTCAAGTGCATAATGAATACAGCCTTACCTTTAACTCATGCTTTTTTCTCCTCTTAATCAATAAACTTTTGTGAATGTAGCTAGCCATGGTATCTCCTGTTGAATTATTGTAAATTATCTTCCTCTCAATTATTTTTCTTGGTCTTGGTTGTAGACTTGGTCTGCAAATTCTAGACATGTAGAACTATAATAATTTAACTGCAACTTTTAAAAAAGAATATGGAATTTTGAGGGGAAAATATTAAAACAGGTTTTGGGGGAAAAAAACTCAGTAAAAAATGAAGAGCCAATAGGCAAATTTATTAAAACCTATCAACATAGCACACTGAGTACAGCAGAAAAACTTTTAAAAGTTGTAGAAGAAAGGTTAACTGATTTCTCAGTTCAGGAACTATACGACATGAAGTCAGCATGTGAGTTTTTCCTGATAATTGTATGTTGCTGCCTGCTGCTCCACATTTTGACAGCCATTTCCATAGTTGCTTTCGTGAACAACAGAAATATTCTCTCTCTTTCTCGCCCTCTCTGTGCTAACAGCACAATCAGGCCTGCTGAAACAGGAAGCCTGGAGTGGGTTGTTCAAAAGCAACAACACTTCAAGGTACTGGTTGCTTGTCAATAATATCAGAGAAGAAAATGTGGTGAAAGGGAAGTACAGTATTTTTCTGTCAGTGTCAGTGCCCTGTAGATGCTTTGTTAGACAGTATTTAGGAGTCCTGTGGACTTTTTGCAAATATTCCTGCTTGTTTCAGTGTTATAATTGACTAGGTATTTTTTCCTGACATACAGATTCAGCTATGTATTTATTTTAACTGCATGGAGTTATTCGAGGATTACAGCAACAGTAGTCTTCCACTCAAAATGAGAAAATTGTTGAAAATGCAGTGAATTTAGAAAAATAAGAAGATATGCAGGAATTTTTCACAATAAATCTTTACAGATGAAAAATACAGAATTTTGAATGTAGTATTTTAAGCATTATAAAATTTATTGCATGGCTTTTGAAAGTAAGTCTGCAGATGGAAGCTGATTAACAAGATAAGATGAGCCTAGGCTGACCTGATAGCAGTTGAATCCTTTCTCAAGTAAACTGTTAACTTCCTTTCTTCCAACAGTTTACTGTTATTATAATTATTTTCTAATAAATGCCTTCCTGTTAAGCTGTCATTTATAGTGGGATTGTGAAGAGTAAACATATTAAAAACTATATATTTATGCTTTAAAAAGCCATACTTTTAATGATATGCAAGAATAACTAGTGAATAATTATATTTATTAAGAAGTAATGGCTTGGCAATTATAGTCCTTTTTGATGAGATTTGTTCTTTTCCAATGTAAGCTGCATGTAAGTTCATCCTTAACTGAAGGAAATCAGCTATGAGGAGAGAGCACGGTACCTGCAAACAATTGTCCAGCACCATTTAGAACCAACAACATTTGAAGATTTTGCAGCACAGGTTTTTTCTCCAGCTCCCTACCATCATTTACCATCTGATGCCGGTAAGATTAAAAGCAAGGATTAGTTACTTGTTACTGGAACTAGAAATGCAATACCCTTTTGTTCCAAAACTTGCTTGAATAAAATTCTAATCATTGAAATATAAATATTTTTCATCACTATTTAATATTCAATTTGGCCTGTAAATTTGGTTTATACTCTCTTTTACCTAAATGCAGTTCCTTAAAAAGTCGATAATCTTCATAAAAGTGCATGCCACGTTTTATTTGAGCTAATAGTCAGTAACTCTTGGGATCATTACTGAAGTATCTACAAAAGAAAAGACAAGAGGAGCGTGCACTCTTAACTTTAGAGGATCAAATTTTATTGTCAAGAATGTTGCTTCATCTCTAATTTTGCAAATGAAAGCTAAAATAACTGGTCTAGATTTAGAAGTATTTAATATAGTAAATTATGTTATAATAAAGACTGTAAGAGGGTACTGCATTTTTACAATTAACTAATTTTGAAGAAATCAGTAAGAAAATAAATGACTCGTGGCCTTCCTATTCGGTAATATCTTGTGCTCCTTATGATTGTTTCATTTATTTTATTTTCCCTCTTTAGATCATTAAATATCAGTTCTGTTTATCTGAAGGTAAGACAAAGTGTCAACCAAAACACCCTCTCCTCTTCTTCCATTTCCTTTTTCAAAATTAGCAAGCTCTAAGCTTGTAACTCAAACAGTAAGCAAACTTAACACTGCCCTGGTTAATACTAAACATTTCAGAAATTGTCACTGAATTTTTTCCAGAATTATACTAACCCAGGTCTGCATGAAACACTAACATGGTTTGGGAATAAAAGTAACTAATAATAGAACCCCTTGGCTGAAATTAGTTACACCTTGTTATATTGACCTTTTTTTGTTTCTCAGCATGAAAAAGTAGTACTATTGAACTGAAATAATGTGTCTTTGTATTTTGTAACGTGTTGCATTGTTATTTTAACTCATTAGTTGGTTATTGTGTGCCTTGCACTGTACTAGGCACCTGAAATACAAAGATAACTATTGTAATGTGTTCAAGGGAAGCAGGAAAAGAGAACATAATATACTTGAAGTTCATCATAATAAACCTTCAAATTCTCTTTATGTTAAATAAGTTTTCTTCATATTAAATAAGTTTAAAAGGCACAGTACTCCTTTTGTAGCCTAATTTACTTGAAAAAATTACTGTAATTCTCAATTGAGGTTTAGTTAATGAAATTAAATTGCTGTTATCATTCCTGTCATCATTAAATTGCCATTAGAAAAATAATTTTACCAAAAAATTTATAACCCTTTCAATTAATACAAAAGACCTAGAAAAGAGAAAATCATGTTAGACTAAGTTGAATCTTTTGAAAGAGAAATAAGAATCTAAGATTCACTTCAGTGAATTGATACTATCTATAATAATTCACTTTGGCATTAAGAAAGATGGTTAAAGAAAGATTAAAAGTAATGAATGAACAGTAAAATGAAAACTAATTAAGTATACCTGGCAATTTTATTGCTTAATAATAGAGAATATCTGATAAAGTATTAGACTGTATTAACATAGATATGAATAACACTTTCTTGTATCACGTAGTCAGGCTATAAATTTAACAACTGAAAAATATTGATAATAGGACCACATTTATACTTTTTCTCTTAAATTTATAAAGGCTGTGCAATTTTCATGTTGTAGTTGTTTACCAACTGAAGTTTTTCATATTTGTTATCTTAATGTTCTTCTCATATTTTGCGTATTGTCCTTCACATTGGAAAGGTATATAAATATGGGAAGTAAGTAGCATTCTCACTTTCTGAGACATTAAATGAAGGATGTTATACCAGCCAAGTCAAGGCTCTGTTGGCTTCATTTTTAATGTATCTTACTAATTAATTCTACAAGTTGTTTGAAATAACACTCAATTTTCAAGAGTGTTTTTACCTGTAAATAACTTGTGCCAGTATTACTGAATACATTTCTATATAAGTTTTTTGTAGATTTAAATAGTTATGATAGATAAATTTTTTTCAGGGTGAAACTCAGTTCAACACAATAAAATACAAATGAAATATTTATTCATACAGTAGAAAAAACATGACATTATCTGAAGAATAATTAGGCTTTTTTCCCGAGTTATCTCACATCTTGATTATCCTGTCAAAAACTGCCCCATACATACAGAACTCCCTTTAAAGTTATAAGTCAAATAGAGAGAGAGAAAACATGAAATAATCTACATAATAGAAATTTGGACCTGACTTCTGGTTGCAAAAGACATAATAGTGTGAAGTTTTTTAGGTTCATTTTAATTTTTTTAACATATGGTAAAATTTGTTTACTACATTGAGGAAAAGGATTCATAATTACAATTGAGAATCTACTTTAGATATCCTGTGCATACCTTGTGTATATAAAATAATACTACTGAATACTAATGCAATAATTTGAAATTAATTTTTAAAGAAATAGCAGTCTGGAGATTATAGTCTTTCTAACAACCATATAACATAATTCTATTCAGTGAAATAGTACAGAAAGGGCCGGCCCATGGCTCACTCGGGAGAGTGCGGTGCTGATAACACCAAGGCCCCGGGTTCGGATCCCATATAGAGATGGCCGGTTCACTCACTGGCTGAGCATGGTGCTGACAACACCAAGTCAAGGGTTAAGATCCCCTTACCGGTCATCTTTTAAAAAAAAAAAAAAAGAAAGAAAGAAATAGTACAGAAAAATACTATTTATTTAAGTTTACTTAATTTATTTCAGGATTATCTAAAACCCACTTCCTGGTTAACAGTAATGACTGTTAAAACTGTGATGACATTTAAATCCAAAAAAGGATTTTTCTATATAACTTTCAGTATTATTTAAATAGATATAAAAGATTTTGGTGTATCACTGTTGATCCATAAATTTCATAACAGTATTTTCTCAAAATGTACTGTCTGTGGCAGTAGACAGATACTTAAGGGAAATTACTTTTATCCCTAAGGTCATTGAGGGAAATATCGTGATGTCACACTTTGTTGATCTTCCATAACTGCATTAAAATATTATTAGATTTTTCTTGTCCTTTATTTAAAAAAAATTACAGGAAAAAAATCCATTTATCTTTGTCAGGCATGTGTGTGGAAAATATCAAAAGTTTTACAGTGACTTTCTTTTTTAACTTTTTTAATATTTACAAACACTTCTCTTCTAACTAAACTTTAAAATGAAATTATTCCTCTTCTTGGCCATTACAGTGGTGTTTCAAAATGTACATATTTTTCCCTAATGTTACATTGTCTTTTCACCATTGTCTCTTTTTTTTTTTGTAATAAAAGAAATTCTATAGTGCCAACAAGAAATAGGATTCTGTTTTGCCGAAAGTATACAGTAAATATTAATTGGTTTGTTTTTCTCAGTTTCAACATTAAAAATACACCCATGATAAAAAAAATTTTTTAATTAAATCAATAAATTTTGTTGGAAGAAAATTTTTTTCAGTAGTCTTTTTTACTCTTAGCTAGAAATATTTCTGAATGCCTGTTGTGCAGTATATCTAGAATTATCTCTAAACTCTGTTATTTTAATTGAGCTAGTAGATACCTTTCTTTGGGTTGATTGTTTTCTACAAGTTAAGTTAGATATTTTAATTCTTTAACACTTAAAGGGCTGATTAACTTTGACTCTCTCTCCCCCCATACACACACACACACACACACACACACACACGTACGTGTATCTATACATACGTGCCACTTTTTATGATTACCTTTAGAAAACTTACAGGTTCCTATTTGGAAGAATATTATAAAAATTAATAAGATTTAAGTAAAATTTCTTTGCCACCGATATCAGAGATAATCTACATGGAGTGATTATGAAGACCTAGAGTAGCATCTAATCTACCTCCATTCTAACCTGAGTTTTGCTGTTAATTCACAAAATCTGTATTGCCATATGTACATGGGATAGGACTTTTGAGAGTCAGATCTATCTTTGAATCTTTCAGTGGGGTGGATCATCAAAATTTAGCCATTGCTTTAGGTAACCTTTTTTAGCTTAGTGTCCTTTAAAAGTTATTTTCAACTTTCCTCTCCTTCCCAGGCTTTGAAATGATCCAGAAGAAAATATTTTAGCCCCTCAGAAAATAGTTATTTTATAAATATCCTAAATATTATCTGTAAGTGCCAACAGGAAAATCAGTTTTCAATATGTAGCATAAGCTTTAAATTGCTTATTTGTTAAAAACAGATTCCTAGTCATACTTATTTATCACTAGGTTAGCCTGAAATTATAGGCAGCTGAATATATTCTGTTCAGTACTTAGAGTTTGGTATTTGGCTTATATGTTATTGATCAAGAGACAAATAATATTTATCTTAAATAACAACCATTAACCTTTTGTGACATTAACTATGAGGCTCAGTTTCCACATGGAACATTCATTCAGATGTGAAATCTTGGTAATGAAAATAATAAAATAATAATTGAGCAATTACTGAGTGTCAGGCACTGTGCTAAATACTATACATACATTTTCTCATTTAATCTCTTGTAACAGATTTATGAAACTTAAAAAAAAAATTTTTTCTATCCAGAGTCACCTGGTACTTGGTAAAGCCAATATTCCACCCTAGACCTGTCTGACTTCAGATCCATGATCTTAATTATTATAATTACTCATTTTGACTAAGTATTTTCATCCCCATCTTGCTATTGATAGAAAAGAGAAAGAAAGGGATATTGCCCAATAACCTATCATATTTTACAAATTAAAAATTGTTAAAAATTTTTATTTTGAGGGCTCTACTTTTCCCACCTGCTGAAAAATGTTATAGCTTTAAGATTGCCAGGGGAGAAGTATGGGCCTTGGAATCAGACCGATCTGGATTTAAATCCTAGTTGTGCCATTTATTATCCACATAAACTCAAATTAATCCATCCTACACCCAGTTTTCTCATTCATAAGAAGGAGGTAAAGTATGACAAGCCTAGCCTGATTTGTTCTACGTCTGCAGTAATAGTATTGAATATCTTAAATGAAGATTATTTATCTGCCTGTGTCTGTGCTATTTTATTTTAAATTGTGTTATTATTTCCTTTATTACATTCAGTACTGTATTCATGATAATCACTTATCAACTCCTTTAACAATTTTAAAGCAGATTATTTGGGTAATCTGTAACCTTTAATATAAGGTTATATTTTATAGGACTATCAACATGAGAGGATAAATTTTTTGATTTCCCCAAAACTAAACTTAATGGTATATTGTGCTCTGTATATTTGGATGATTATATTTTGTAGGTGGTCATTTTCTTTAAAAATATTTTTAATTTCCATCCCTTTCTTTCTAATTTTCATCTGTTCTGATTCAAAATCTATTAACTTTTACTCTTCTCTGTTTAGTAGCTTTACTATGCAGCTATGCTTATTGCGCACCTACTATATTTCAGGAACTTTGCATATATAGTCCTTACTCCCACAACAACCTTGCAGAAAAATTAGTATTATCTTTATTTTTCAAATAAAATGCCTCAAGTCAGTTTGCCCAAGATCAAACAGCTAGTGTGGTGACAGAGTTGGCATTTAATCTAGGACTGTCTAAAACCCATGTCCATGTTCTTTCTAACATATCACATTGTCTCTTAGTTCAGTATTAATTGAAATTGCTTTTAAAGTTACAATGTTTTTAAAGGCTATATTTACCCAATAACTTTAGCAGTTTTAAACTGACTATCCCTGTCATCAAACAGTACAAACAAAACCACAATAACAATTGAGTTCCCTTTTATAATCTGTATAGATCCCCAAAGTCATATTCACATGTCATTTGTAATAATAGTTTATTGTATTCAGTGTGCAATATATGTCAAATTATTTTACCATCAAGATGTAGACACAGTCTATGTGAGCACTGTGAGATTGTTAGTAACAGGTACAACATATACAAAAATAGGAGCCCATAGATACTTTTTCACCTTTGTCTTTGAAGATATAATAGAAATAATTAAATAAATCAGTATTCTTTATGACTTAGGTGTAGTATAAATCAATAGGCAGAATAGGATGTGAAACGAATTGTATGTATCATTGTATTTTTTATGTCTAAAATTGAGGTTTATCTACTGTAAATTATTTATAGAGTTTGGGTATATTGGGTATATCCCACAGATATCCAATTTGAGGAAATACTGATAACTATACACCATATTCACTAAAAAGCCTGATTTGACTCTCAGTTGACTGAAGGGAGGATTTCACTTTGAAGCATAGGGAGACATGAAGGAATTGCTGTTTTTGAGGAAAATGTTCTCTGAGTTTGACATACTCTAAAGCACTATTCTCCAATAAAACTTTCTGTGATGTTGGGAATGTTCTACATCTGCATTGTCCAATATAGTAGCCACTAATCACATGTGGCTGTTGGACACTTGAAATGTGTCTAGTTTACCAAGAAACTGCATTTTTATTTAATTTTAACTTATTGATTTTAATTAAATGTGGCTATGGCTACCATACTGGACAGTGCAGCTCTAGAGATTTTATGACTGAGTGGTTAGGAAACATGTCACCACTGCAGTGAACACTTTAAAAGGTGTATGTTTATATAATCTCTGATAGACTTTTTTCTTCTTTTCTTTTTTCCTATTTGAACTTGTTCTGTTAGTTGGTAAGTATAACATTTGAATTTACAAAGCATTGTCCATTGTGAAACATCATCACCCTAACTCATTGCATGCCCAATTATATTTCATAATAGAATTCTGATTACTCTCTTCTCTGCTCCTTGGTTGACGCCTATAAAATTCTGCAGTGTGTCTCTCATATCTGTTGTCTATCTTCTCTTTTGTTTTCTCACTCTGCTCGCTACTCCATTTCTTCATGCACAACAAAGAAAGAAATGCAGTGATAGTTCTCTTCCTCCCAAAACCTCCGCTAGAAAACATTGGCCATCTCAAGGTAAACAGCCATGGAAAAGCCTCTCATGGTGGCCGGGAATAATACGCATTATCAGAAAAGCATGAGCTACTGCTCTTCAACTTCTTTCTGCCATCTACCTGCAATGCTTCCCTAAAAAGGGCCATGGATTCATATTCTACTATTCATTTTCTAGTATGGGTCCACTATGAACCAATTCAGATCTTTAGGAAGAATAAAGGTGAATAGAAATATATTTCCTTCTCTGTATATTTTGAAGACGAATCTCATTTCAGTTAAAAAGGAAAGAATGTTCAAGTTACTTAGAGGAGGCCAATTGACCTGGATTATGAATGACAGATATTTTTCCTTGACAATGTATATTTGTTCTTAGTATAATTATGTAAGTATAGTAACATTTGGCCTTAAAATCTGCACTCCTTGTTGAATATTTTGGGTTTTTTCCTTATAAATATTTATAACAAACTTAAGCACGAATGTTTCATTATATGGAAATGCTAGCATAATTATTTCAAAGTTTGAAGTATCAGTGAGGTAGGCCTGCAACCTGTGTGGTGTTTTTGCTTGTTTGTGACATACATAAAGAAAATTTCCATGTACTTAAGACCCAGAAAATCTGGACTAAAGTACCTTAAAATATATAGAATTTTTTAATTTTATTAATCTGTTTGCAGATTTTCTTTTTTTTTTTTTTTTTGAAGGGCTTTTATTTTTAACGTAATGTCTTGTTCTTTTGTTCAGAAAATATTTGAGATGGGCTGGCCCGGTGGCGCACTGCTACAGTGCGCCGCTTGGGAGTGTGGTGGCGCTCCCGCCGAGGGTTCGGATCCCACATACAGACCGGCCGCTCACTGGCTGAGTGAGGTGCGGGCGCAACGAGGGTTGTGATCCCGTTGCCGGTCCCGGTCCGGTACGGGCGCGACACCGAGGGTTGCAATCCGTTGCCGGTCATGAAAAAAGACAAAAAGGAAAAAAAGAAAAGAAAATATTTGAGAGCCTACAATATGAAAGGTTCCGTAGTATTGCAGTTTATTACAGAATCATAATTCATAGAAATGAAGTACAGAGGTGAAGAATTACTTTGTAAATGACACACAGAATTCTCCAATTTAATTTTATTTTGCTTCTTTCCTAAAATTTTATATTTACTAATTCTACTGATTACCTACTTGCTATGACTGAACAGTATACATTTTCTGGGGTCAGTTAGTGTTTTTTGACTGACTTTCAGATGAGAATTGTTGCGCCCTGTCCCCCCGCCCCCTGCCCCCAGGAATTTATCCCGCTCCATCTTAAACCCATATTTAAATAACTAGCATGTATAATGGTCTCATAGTGCTGAGTTCCTTTTTGAATCCTTGGTTCCACAACTGGAACTGCTTGGTGCTGTTTTGTTTTGTTTTATTTTTTCACATTTGAGGAGTGAAGGCCCTTTTTTTGGTTGTACCCTGAACCTTTGAGATATAAATTGGTCCTTCTCAACTGCTTCTCGAATCCTTGCCCATCTCTGCATGCTAATGGTGCTTTGGATCCCTGTTCTTTCTGGCCCAAAGATTTTGCTTTCCATTGCTTTCTCCAGGGTTCTGGTTCTGGAGATGATAATTGGTGCTTTCTTGCTGATATGATGACATGAGTCACCAGATCACCTGGTTTTAAATACATTAGTAGACTGTTGTAATAAGCAAGTTCGGGGCTTGCTTTTTTCCTCTAAAGACCTCATTAAGGGTTGGGATACTTGCTACTGATTACTAGCAAAAAGGTTTTTCTTATGGGATGAATGTACTAATTACTGCTTTTCCTGTTTCCTGCAGGCTCCTATGCAGAGGTTCTACCCAGCGAAACTCCCACAGCAACGCAGGTAGATGGGGCTGACCTGGCCTCTCCAATGTCTCCTCGAACTAGCAAAAGCCGCATGTCCATGAAGCTGCGTCGTTCTTCTGGCTCAGCCAATAAATCCTAAGGAGACAAGCAGCCCAACAGTGATCAGAAATAGCCACCGTAGCACTAACATAGTGTTAATTAACCCTTTTAGGCCTTCATGTCTGCCGTAACATGCATGTTCCTTCCTGTACATTTGTTTGAGAAGACACTGGATTTAAATAATTTGTAACTTAATATTTTAGATTTGGGTTATTTATTCAGTTTGTTTTTTCCCCCCAACACTCCAAGCTGCCATATTTTGAGAGGGTAGAATTTTATTCTACACCCTTTACCTTCCTAGATAATTATGTCTGAGTTGTTTTACCTTTAATTTCATGATTAACTTTGAGCCAAAAGATAATTAGACAAATAGTATCATTATTTTATTTATTGTGCCCATTGTAACTTTATGGCTCAATAAATATATAATTTTTTTACAAATGTAAAATTTTAAATTTAAGCATTTGTAAAGTTATAGCAAAAGTTGCAAATCTGTTAAATACATAGGACATGTACAGATTATTTATGTTATGAAAATAAAACACTCAAAATAAATGGTCTTCTAGCATCTCAAATTCCTACTGAAATAATTTTAGCACTAACTTTTCTTCCCAAAACAATGTCTCATTTCTTGGCTGTGCAGATGATGCCATGACATGTCCATAACTAGAAAAATCACTGTGCTGAACTATGATTTATGTTTAGTTTCCCAATATTTTTCTAATGTTTTGCTTTTTAGGTGGTATCACTGTTAAATACCATTTTTGTTTTGAGATTGTGGCCCTTTATTATCAGCTGCTAGATCTTGGTGTGTCTATGTTCTTTCTAAGTACTGAAAAAAAAAAATAATGGGGAGAGAAAAGAAGCAAAAAACTTTTCTGATATAAATATGTTGCTCAAATTATGTGTATTATTAAAAAAGAAAAGGGAAAATGACCTAGTTCTTAAATTTAATACTGTTACTACTGAACTTGCAGGTGTAGGTTGGTATACATTCCACCCTCCAGAAGTATTTTCCTATAGTAGATAAGCTGCTCACATTTTGTTTTGAATGGGCATCTTCTAAGGAAATGTAGCATGACATTGGTATTAACTGCATGTGTAAATATATCATACTGGCAAACCATAAAATATAAATTATGTATCATTCATGTGGTATCTACAAATTTGTAACAGTAAAAAAAAAAATAACATGGTATTTAATAATACAATAAAATATTCTTATCACTTCCTGTCCTGAGTGTTGATTTCTGTATTTCATATATCTTCATACTTAATAAGCAGAGTTAAATGTTAAGTATGAGTTATTTTAGCTAATCATGAAAAATGAATTCAAATTCTTTTCAGGATATACTGTAACTTATTTCTCAAAGATTCTACCACAGTCTTTAAAAACACGGGAAATTTTATACCTTCATAAACGCTGGCCAGAAACTTCACTGAATGCACTTGGTTAAAGCATCGATTTATCTGAGAGTCATGTTTCTTTGATTTCTTAAATTTCACTTTGTTTTCTAATATACTTCTAGGAATAAAACTTCCTACCAACAAGTTTTTATAAAACAATCTTTCAGAGTCTCTGTGCACTTTATTTTTGTTTCCTTATAAATAAAAACGTGAATTCCTATGAAAACTATGTAGAAGATAAACAAATGGATAAAGAGTCCCTGGGAAGAAGGTTAAACAATGTAGACAGTTTCCCATAACCAAGGTGAAGAATTACAAAAAGGAAAATCAGAGTAACAGCTTACATGTTGCTAAAGTGCTTTCATTTTTAAAAAGTGAACATCTAATGGTTTGATATGTAACAAAATGAAGATACCAACTTGAAATAGCTATATTAGCACCATTAATTATCTTCATCTTCAGTTAGTGCTATTCACTACCTTTTTTAAAAAGTATGTTTTCTGTTCACAGTTTTTGAGGCTAAGTCTTTTTAGATTTAAAAAATAGTACATATTCTTTGCCTTTTGGAGCTCAGTTTGTGAAGCCATACTTCACAGGAAAATTTCCCATTGCGTTTCTGCACCATTCATTTGCAAAATATAATATCTCCTGTCTTTGTATTCTGTCTAAAGAGATCACTAAGATTCTAAAGCAGGATACTGGCATTGGAGAGATAAGAAATGTGGCTTTGAAAATAGGCTGTGTTCAATGGGATTCTTAAGACAAACAGAGAACACAACAAAGCACGGTCTATGTACATTTATTTGGTGGTAAGCATCTTACAAGTACGGGCTATCTGTCAAGCAATGCCCAACCAGTGTCCCAAACTCTGGCTATTAGGGCATAGGTACAGAAGGTACACTGAATATGGTTTACAAAAAAGTTCAAAACAAGTTGCTGCTGAAAAGAAAATATTGAATATTGAATGAATTGCTATTGAGTTCCATAGTGATTATAGATTTTAACATCTTCCTTAAGCTTAAGTTTTATATATAATACACAATATGAGATTTACAACAGAAGCATTAAATAATTTGGGTGAAACCTTACTAAAAGTCAAACTTCAGGAAACGAGTTCTATATTTCCAAAAAAGCTATTTGAAGAAAGGTTTAAAGTAGCTCTTCCTGAATACTACACAAAAAAAAGCTAAAGGTGAGAATTTTGGGTGCATCTCAACTCCTTCCAATAAAGTAGTACCCTCCCCACCTCCAAACACTGACTTAAGAATGGACTAGTACATATAATTGAGAAAAGGAAAAGTTACAGGGGAGATTCCCAAACCCCCCAAAAAGCAGCAAACATCCTCTTACATTTCCTTCCCACGTACACAGTTCTTGAATCTTTTTTCCCCCTGTAAGTTTGGCACCAATCACAAAACTTAATTCACAGAATATACAATTCAAGATACCTATCTGACCCTATTGAGACAGAAACTACATCGGCCGCCTTTGATGGCAAGAGAAAAACTGGTGACTACCACTTTTGGTAGCCGGCAACCTTTGTAGACTTTGAGACATGCACACATTCACTGTGACTTTTCATAGGAATTAGCAATCATATAGGATTCGTTAGGGTCTCCAGAATTTTGAGAGGGAAAAATCCTATTTTAGTGAGGAAAGTAAGAAGGATTTAAAGCTGGCAGTCTTTGACCGAGAATGTTTACACCAGATACATACCTGCTCTAGAGGGATTTTACATTTCACTGTCCCGCTTCTCTGGCGGAACATTGTCTACTAGGAGAGTTTTAGGAGAGAAGACAGGGACGGTAGAAAATAAACGCAAATTGAAGAAAACCCCACAAATTCCCGTGATCTGTTTCCTCCAAGGCCAACTGGGAAGTCTTTCTGGTCTCTCGGCCCTCAGCAGCCGGGCCTCAGAGGCATCTGCAGCAGCAATACTTGCCGACTTTCTGAGGGGTGGCACTTATTGATGTGCCGGGTCAGCCCTGGGGAGCTAAAAAAAGTGGATGGGCAGTGCTTGCACGAGAAAATTTGCTGAGCACTCCCTTCAGGTGCCCCGCCTGGGCCCGGCGCTTCGAGAGGAGCCCCCGTCAGAGCGGGCAGGAGCAGCTCCTCGCGGACGGCATGCCACAGCCGGTGCTTCTCCCTGATATCTGCGGACGGGAAGTGCGCCCCGCACAACGGGCAAGCGAAGGCGAGTGGGGCGCTACGTTCGGAGCCAAAGCCTGGGGCTAGCGCACGGGCCGAACCCGCCTCATGAGTGACCAGGTGCTTGCGTAGATAAGCTTGGCGACGGAACTTTTTGTGGCAGTATGGACACACAAAGATCTCGGATCCCCCGCCACCACTGGCACTGCCCGGCCCAAGCACCTGGCGCCCCAACACCCCCTCTGTGAAGGGGGCCTGTGACAGCGGTGGCTCGGGATGCATCAGCACCTGGAGGCCCTGGCGCGGGGCGCTGTCCTGGTGCTGATCCGGCCCGGAGCTGTCCCTAGTTTGCTGGTGCTGATCCACAGTCCGCTCTACCCGGCTATTCTCCTTCCCTTCTGCCAAGAAAGATGCAATGGCCCCCGAGTCCGGGGAGGACGAAGACGACGACGGAGTCGGCTTCCCGTCGGTGGAGGAAACTGTGGTGGCGTTTGTCGCTGCGGGACGAGGCTTGTGCCAGCGGCGATGTGAGGCGAGGTTCGCAGGACAGCTGAAGACCTTGTCGCACTCGGGGCAGCGGTACTCGACGCGCACTATGCGGGAGCAGCGGTGTTGGGCCAGCGAGAAGGGGTCTGCGTACTGCTCCTTGCACAGCTGGCAGATGAACTCCCCCAGCGGCGTGCGGCTGCCCCCCAGGCCCCGGGACGGCGCTCCAGGCTCCTCCTCCTTGATCTTCAGGCCCAGGACAGGGGATGTGGTCACCTCATCGGCGAAGCTCAACTTCCTCATGGCCTTTGGCTTCTTGATTCCCGCAGCCGCAGGTCCAGACGCACAGCCCGGAGGTACCTTGGCGCGGCGCTCGCCGCCGGCGGCCCGCTTCAGGCCGTGCAGGGTGGCCGAGAGGGACGCGGGGCCTGGCTGGAGCGCGGGCTCTGGGAATGGTGCCCGGAGCGGCAGCAGGAACTGCTCCCCTGAGGTCGGTGCGGCTGCTGGAGCCACCGCGCAGGAGAATGCAGCCACTGCGGCGGCACCCCCGGGGAAGGACTCGGCAGAAGCGGGCGAGCTGAGGCAGCGCTCCAGGAACGCCCGACGCAGCTCCGCGCCAGCCGGCTTCGCGGGGCTGGGCCCGGGCCCGGGACCCTCCCTGCCATCTGCCCTCCACTCCGCGCCTTCCCTCCCGCGCATCCCCGGGCTCACCCCAGCCTCCCGGCAGGGCGACTCCGACAATTCCCGGGCCGCCTCCGCTGTTAGCCCCTTTCCGGGCTCCTGGGTGGGGGGCGCCGCCCGCTCCGCACCTGGCAGGGAGGCGCTGGGAACCTCCTCGGGGAAGGGCGGCGCCACCTGGGGCCCCAGCAGAGGGAAGACCCGTTCGGTTAAGCGCACTCGGTAGGAGCCGCCTGTCCGTTTAGTTCG